AAGGGAAACTACGGCGGAGAAGGGGCGGAAACAACTCCCAGCGCACGCATGCGCAGGAGCTCGGCGCGTGGCATACGTGTGTGTGTGTGTGTGCGCGTGCGCATCAGGGCCTGCCTAGCTGGCAGTCTGCGGGAGGGCGGAGCAGACGTGTTGACGTTTCTGGAGCGGCGAGCTGGGCGAGCCTCAGGGTCTGCGGCTGCTCGGTGGCGAGCCGGGCATCTCAGCGCCCCCTGGTGGGGTTCTCTTGAGCGGCGTCAGCAGGCTAGGCGGTTCTTGGCGAGGGCGCTTCCGGGCGGAGCATGCCGGGAAAGTGAGTATCTGAGGAGAACTGCATCTGAGGGGTGGGGCCTCGGTGGGATGTGGCCCTTTTGCCTGAGGAGATGTTGCCTAGGCCGGCTTTCTGGGAACGTTAGCTTAAAACCCAGTTTTCATTAGTGATAGTGAGCTGAATCATGTCCAGGAAAGTCGCAGGTATCCCATACCTTATTGATATTTAGTACTAAAAGCTAAAGCAATGGAAAAATACTTAAAAAAATTATTCTTCTCTTATAGAGTACATTCTGACCACAACTTCCCCTCCCTCCAATCCTCGCAGACCCCAATATCCACTCTTCCCCAGAACCTCCCTCCCCTCCAAACACAACAACAACAACAACAACAAAAAGAACGGGACTCTTAGGGACTTCAAACACCTTACAAGAAGCTCCAAGGGGAGGGACCCAATGGAGGCCTCCAACTTGAGCTTTTCTCTCTGCCTCAAGTTTGGCTGTGGGTCTCTGTCTGTATCTGCTCTCATCAATTGCCAGAGACAGCCTCTCTGATGATGACTAGATTAGTCACTGATCATTTCATTGGTTTCTTTTTTTCACTCATGTTTGGTTCTACCATAGGTCTCTGGGCAAATAAAAACTTTTACTTAAAACATTTATTTTCTCTCTGTGTGTATTTTATCCCATATGCCATGCTAGCTCAACATCCTTACTGCACTCTGAAAACAGTTTCATGGGAGGAACTGATGAAACTACAGTCTACCTCTAATGCCTAACAAATGAAAAATGAGTGTGTTGCAGTTGGAGTTACAAGAAGATTGAGGGCAGCAACAAATGAAAACACATTTCAAATGGAAAGAAGTAAATTTTAAGATAGTTTGATTTTAGAAAAATAAGTTTCTGATCATATACAATATAAAGTTGAGTTGGCCCCGGGCTAAAGAGGGACTCAGAGTTTGATGGGATCAACATAACACTTCACATGGTGTTTCACTCTGGAAATAGTGAAAAGCTGTTTCTAATTTGGCTTACATTCTTCGTGGTGGTCTGTCCCCTCCCTGTTTCATTTCCGTGTATTATTAGTGAGGTGAACTGCCTGTTGCTGAAATTATAAGGTTCTTCAAGGTTAGGGAGTAACTAATTCATGCATTTGGTTTTCTTTCTCTTGCCTCCACCATCAATCCAGTACTCTGCTTTTCTGTTTCTGTTAAGCTTTATAGTTTTTTTAAACACATTATTAAAATATTTTGGTGTTCCTTGATAATTTCACCTTTACTTAGAAAAATTATCTTTTTATTTTTCATTTGAAAGAAAATATTTTATTTAGCTAGGTTTATTGTTAGCAAGCTTTCACCATACCTCAATATCAAATATTTCATTTGTTGGCTTCTATGTGGTACATAACCTTTCACTGCTGGGTCTAAATTATTAGCCAGATCTCTTAAGTCCATTTCCCCTCCCTGTGAGCTTGAATTCAGAAATGTCATCAATTGCAGTGTTTGTAAGCTATCTGATTTGCTTTTTATTCTTTCTCTCACCCTAGGTGATGTATTTCGTCCTCACTGGAAGTTGGACTTTTCCTTTATTACCTACTGACATATTTTAGAAATTCTTGAGTCAGATAACCTTTTAAAATTGTGTGTGTGTGTGTGTGTGTGTGTGTGTGTGTGTGTGTGTGTGTGTGTGTTATTTTGAACACAGTTCTCATGTGCCATGGTATGCATGTGGATGTAGGAGAACAAATTTCCAGAGTCTGTTGTTTTCTTCCACCATGGGATCAAAGCTCTTCGAATTGGTGACTGTGGTAATATGTCACAAATAATGACATAGAGGAATCTTTTTTTTGGGGGGAGGGGGCTTTTCGAGACAAAGTTTCTCTGTGGCTTTGGAATCTGCCTGCCTCTGGCTCCCGAGTGCTGGGATTAAAGGTGTATGACACCACCGCCTGTCGGTGACATAGAGGATTCTTATTAATTATGAAAGCTTGGCCTTAAATCTTAAATTAACCTGCATCTATTAATCTACATTCTGCCATGTGGCTGTTTTTCATCTTTCCTCCATTCTGTATGTCCACCTCCCTCCATGTCTTGCTGGCATCTCCCCACAGACCTAGATTCGTCTTTTGAGTTCCTCTCCTTTCCTAGAAATCTCACCTATCTTCTTTTGCCTAGCATTGGCCATTCAGTTCCTTATTAAACCAATCACAGTGACACATCTTCACACATTTCCCTTTTTTGTCTAAATGAAAAATAAGGGTTTTAACTATTAACACAGTAAACACTATATATAATAAGAACAACTATCAGGTAAGAATTACATTCACAATGTGTAGTCTATTTGTATTTGGCAAATTCTGAGAAAGTATTCTATTACTTATCTTATCTTGGTGAGTTCAAAGTTTTATACCTAAACTGTTTTCTATCATACTTGTATTACCATCTTAGAAATATCTTTTTAGATCTTAAAACATTTTTTATACAAACAACTTAAGCTTTTATGTTTTTCAATCTTATAAACTTTACATCTCTTTTGTAAGTTTCTTTTCTGAATTTGGTAACAAAGAAAACTCAAAACTATAACTATATATTCTTCAACACCATCAGAGACCTGAGGTGGATATAAATATTACCTGAGTAAACAGGAAGTACAGAGAAAACAACTTCTAAAACTATAGAAATGACAAAGACAGCTGGCTGCCAGGACAATCACCCAAGGTTCCACTGCAATGTTGGGTCATTCATCTTTGGCCTACAGATTTCTGTGAAGTAGAAAGTTTTGAAGGACTGTCCTACCTTATCTTGGCAAAGTTTGGCAGTCATCCTTTGTGTTCTGCTTCTCCAATTTGGACAACCTACTGTCAGAAGTTGAGGCAAGGAAGTTTCTTGCCCAGGACTAGCTTTGTCAGGAGCAGATGTATCTCACTGTCATGGAAAGCCTTATGTTATTAAAACACGTTAAATGCCACATTGCGTGGATCTCTGAAGTGTTTGAAGACCACCTATCTATCTAAAATATATCTCTCTTTGACCTTGAAAACATATATAACATGACTACAAGTTTGATTGTTATAGATGACTAAATACTAACTTACATGTCTTAATTACCCTAAACAGTTTGTAATAACAGCTTTCAAGGAATAGAATTTGACATTACATTTTAAAATGAGCTGCATAGGTACTATAACTTAAACAAGAGTAGAAAATACAGTATAACAAAAACAACCTTAAATTTGTATCAACATAAAAATACCTTAAATAAGAGTAGAAACACATGCAGTATGTTATAACAAAAATAAGCTTAAATATGTATCAATATAAAAAATCAATACCAATGTAAAATATTTAAGACTAGTAGTTGCTTTTTAGTTTAAAAGTAGATTCAGCAATCTACTCTTTTATCCTATAACACCTCTTTTCTTTCTTTTTAGAAAGAGACCTCAGAATTTAATTTCTTTTGTTTAGTTTTTTTCCCTGACCATGACCAGTAAGAACTTGTAACCAATCCCTCTAAATGGTGACAGACATTCACAACACACCAAACTACCTCAAACCACCCCACCTCTTGGGAATATGGGTGTCATGTTCTCTAGATTACTTCCTGTTGTCTGGGGATGATGACATCATTAGGGGACCCTGAAAAAAGTGGGATAATGATAAAGTCCTGGGAGAGTTATCTGTATTGTTTACTTTCTAGTCTCTGTCTAATGGGAAGGTGCAGGGCTTATCTGGAGTCCTGGCTAGAGTAGTCTGTGAGACTGGGCCATCTCATGTAGCAGCTTTGAAGTTGTTCTGGATTCAAATTTTTGAAGAAACTGCAACTGAGGCATTCTGAGAGGCTGGGTCATCTGGGCTACTTGCCTTTTTCACATGAGATTGGGTGCATTCAGGGTGGTATGGCCATAGACGCTATTTGTCTTTTTCATTGGTGTCTAGTCCTTTCCTTCTGAAAACACACAAACTTTTAAAGGTGACATACATATCTGCATCAACATAAATATGCATCCTGTGGTATGCACAAGTCAGCTAAAGATGATTTTCTGTTTTATGTTTGAATCGGTAAAATACATGTCAATTTTATAAGTCTGTTTGGAATTCATAAGCAAACTGCAATATAAATCACCATTCATTGTTGGAGTACCCTGCACTTAGGGTTGCAATACACCATGTCTAAACAGTTCTCTGGGTTCAGCACAAAATGGAGGACCCCCTTTCCAGGAGGCCTCCCTCCCTCCCCAGATAGCATCTCTATGTTTGGATGCCTGACCTTATCCCTAAGCCTAGATGCCTGACCTATCTCAAATGAGACCTTTGACATAGATCCCTGCAGATGCTTTTCCTGTGCTGACCATATGATAATTAGGTTTTGTGCTTTCACAACTGTGAGGCCAAACACAAATTAGGTGATGCCCCAGCTGCTGTTCCCATCCTATATATTTCACCTCACTCTGGAATAAAGGTAAGCTGTAACACTGAAGACTGTCTCCTGGAAAGCTTCTTTTGTCATACCCACAAGCCATGTGAACCCTGTTCCCTGCTTCTGCTCCCTCCTCCCTCATGGACCAGTGGGCAATGATCCTCGAGGAAGGAGACCCACAATCCATGCCATATGAAAGGATGGCATTTAATAATAAGTCATGAGGACTCTGTAGCCAACAAGATTTATCAAGTTTCATCCAGTCTCAGAGCTGTTCCCATACCA